TTTTTTTTTTTTTTTTTTTTTGCCAGGAACAAAAATCAGGCAGTTGTTTAGACATCCATCTTACAAGAGGTTGTTCTTCAACTCCCACATGCACATCTCTATGAAATTGGATGTCGTCTCCTGTACGGTAAAATTTAGGCAAATATTAGAGCCACCCAACAATTCTTACTCTCATCTCCAAACTTTTTGGAGCATGTATATTAGTTTCCTACTTCAGAAAGCTTTTTATTAATGTTATTTTTTAAAATTATATTTATTTAGTCCCCACATTCAAAGAAGTTTTTAATAGGTCATTGAATTTTCAGTTTTATGTTTAACGGACTCCTGTGTTAACGGGGGTAAGTTTTTTAGTGAGCTGATCTCGAACAAAATGTTTTAAACTAAAGAAATTAATGGCCGATCTCCAGACATGAAATAGAAACAACCCTCCCATTCAATAGTATGACACTAATTGTGTTAAACATTCTAACATTTCTTGAATGCAGCATAAGAAGGTTAAATATTACCTCTTTGGTCGACTTCGATCTTCTTCGTAGTCCATTACTCCACCAGGTTCAGAGTAGATCTCCTCATGCTCTCGGATGTCAATGTTGGCCTGCTCACAGTTTGTAACTTCTGCCACAATGTAAGTAAGACACATCGACTAATATATCCCAGTATTCGAGTGAAGAGTCAGCGCATTTTATTTCAATACTTTAGCCACTGAAGATTCAGAGGAAATAGGACATGGACTAGATGTTAACATTAATAAAATCTGACTTGTTTGTACACCAGCAACGGCAATTTCAATGTATAAAGAATAAAATCTCAGAAACAACATAAGAACATTCTTTGATAACCTTGATTAAGAATTTCTGCATTGATAGGCCTTCGTTTCAAACCATATTCCCAAAAAATGGAGGCTTGTTTAGCTTTCGTTTCAAACCACCATAGGAAAGAAGCGAAGGCTAAACAGAGAAAAAACAAGCACATTCTAAAAAACAAATAAGATGAATGCAGAGTTTGATAGGGTGCGTTTTCTACACTTTTTGATGGACAGATAACAATTATCAAAATTTCAGATTAAATTAGATTACCTTCGCTTCCATCTATATCAGTTGGGTTTTATCAACGTTCTTATTTATTATTATTATTATTATTATTATTATTATTATTTTTTATGTTAGTTCTAAGAGAACTGCTCACATTATCCTCGTAAAATAATTTTCTCAATAAATAATTGGTAGGAGAAGTATTCAACCATCAAAACAATGAGACAAAACGTATTTCAACTGACCTTCAAAGAAAGTGACTCCTTTACTTCTTCCATCCTATCCTTGTATATTATTTTCTCAATAAATATTGGTCTTCCATAAAACGAAAAGTAAACAACCATCACAGCAATTAAGACAATACTTATTTCAACTGACCTTCATGGAAAGTGACTTCTTTACTTCTTCCACCCTATCTTCAACATCCTTTCTGTGTTTCTTGTCCAATTCACTCATATTATCGGCCCATTTTATCTTATCTTGAATTGAGACCAACAAATTGTCTGATGTAGTCAACCTAGATACACATAGAAATTGTTAGGTTGCAAATAGATGTGGCACCCAGCAAAAAACAGCAACAAGACAAGGGTGAAAAAATTTGAAAAATCAACTAATAAAATAAATAAATAAATACAAACATGCACACATGGAACTATGAAAATACAAATAATTAAAAAAATGTGAAATGAAGTAGCAAACAATAGTAGAATAATTGATACTTGAGGTTGCAAAAGAACCAGTATCTCAGCAATTTAGGATAAAACTTGGTAATGCCACAATTAATCGTTCCTTGCATACACAATAACTTCTTGCTCACAAGTGCTTTCTTAAAAGAACCTGGCCCCCATGAAACTTAAAACAAGTAAATTTACCAATTTGATAGTGTTCGTATCATGCCCCCAAGTTGCCCAGGTCTCAAATCTCTACCGGCAGCAAATTGGACCTGCGTGTTCATATTAGGACATCAATGAACACAATTTCGAAAGCCCATATGCTGAGATCAGGGCTACAAAGCAAACACAGACCTCAAAGCACCTTCGCAACTGATCCAACTTTCCTCTGACTATTCCCTGAAAGCAAATATGAAAAATTTCAGAGAAAATACACTCCTTGTCCATGATGTATCAAGGGCATTGGACATTGCTCATCTTCCCTCCCAAAAAATCAGTAAACAAATCAATTAATTAAAAATCTTAATGTTTAGCAAGTTATGCAAAACCCATTCAAGAGGCGAGTCCCAATCCTAAGATAGCAGTAGGTGCAAAGAGCCACTGAGCCTGAGGGTTTTGGACTTCCCAGAATTTATCTGGTATTAAACCCTCTAAATTTTCACGTAAATGACAAAATGGCAATGTTACGAGTGTTGTCCATATTTGTTGGACATGTATCAAATACTTATAAATACGTGACAACATTTGTAAGCATAATGCATACAATTGTGTTTATATAACCTTTTTTCTATGTATTCACTTCCGAAAATCAGACCAAAACAGAAATATAAGGAAACAAAATTAGGGTAAATTATATCAAACTTGTTTTCATGTTAAGATATAAATGCCTCAACTTTAAATTAAAATAATATATATCTTATTTTAAGATAAGTAATATATATTTAAAAATGTGTATTCTAGTACAAATGCAGACAAACAGAGCAAGATAAAAAGAAAGTTGATCGAGCATATGTATGGGTTATTAGATTCAAGAATTTCTTTTCCAGGTCCTGACATTCCTAATATTGGTAAGAAGAAGCAATGAAGTACGGATTGGTACTAATATCATAATACTGGCAAGAAGAATCAATAAGTCCACATTGGTTCAGGTATCCTAATACTACACTAGTAAGAAGAATCAATTACGTACAGACAGTAGAACATACCGCATACATGCATTCATTAATAAGAAAATCCTCCAGTTCTCGTACATTTGTAACATCTAATTCCTGCATTAGTTGGTCATAGGCTAACACCTGGGAATGAAATCAATAGTCAGAATAGAGAAATAATTTAACGGTGAATGCCAGGAATCTACATCTCATCATCAACTAAAAGCTTTTATAAGAAACCTATGAGAAATGAAACAATATTTGAGTATATACTAACAGTTAGCTGCGAAAGAAAGACTGAAAGAAAACAAGAATTTCATAAGAAACTATCCAGATCCATGTTTCATACAACAAAGATCATCCTCGAAAACACCGAACGAAATGATTCTTTGTATACAGTTTTACATTAAAAGGTCTTCAGAGATTCTTCTCAATATAAGATGATGTTTTTTTAAGCTAATCCAACCATTATAGGAAAAATCAACGACAGACCCTTCCTTTTCATTTATGAATGAAACGTTGTTTCTTTTTTCTTTTTTTTTTAATAAAAAAAAAAACAAAGGCCACATTTTTCTTTTTCTTTTTACCTCGTAGTTCAAAATATTATTATTTTATGAATCAAATTATTTACTGTTGCTTAAATATAATACACCTTAGTTCACTGATGCTCGTGATTAGGCTTCAAAGAGCCCAGAACCCCCTCTAAAAATTATTTTTAATAATAATTAGTTCTCAGATTTCAAAATAATTTTCCCAATTAACGTTTTTCCAGAACCTTATAAACTACCAGAATTCAATATACCCACAGACTACTGCACCACTAAATCCAGCTTATTGGCTGGTTCTCAGGGAAACAACCATAGGCCATGAACCATATGTTGTAACATCAAATCCAACAAGTTGTTAGATCCGGAAAGGTGAAGCAGAACAGAACGACAAACTATTTTAAATCAGCCAGATATATCTTCAAGTGGGTTAAAGAAACGTGATTGAGTGGGGAGCAAGAACACCTTGTTTGTCTCAGCCAATGTAAGGACAGTAAGTTGCTTTAGTTTGAGGGCTTGATCAGAACCTAATTCTGGAAGGCGGCTGGAATTACCTGCAAAATATACCATTGACAAAACTTGAATTAAGTTTGGTGCAGCCATCAAGGGTACACACTTCGACGTTGAAGTATAACAACGAAATTGTAGCTAAATTCAATTAATTGATGGAAGCAAGGTTATATAAGTTATGATTTTTTCAATGAAAAAAATCAGATTTTCCTCAAGAAAATACGGGCATACAAAAAACGAAAAAATCACAAAGAGGAGTCATATAAAAGAAGGGGCTCAAATCAAGTAAAATGAGACCTAGCGGGTAATTACAAAATGACCTATACACCAATGTCTAAAAAGAAACAAAGAAAATAACAATGGACCAAAAAACTTTGAATGATCTCTCTCACCCATGGAGATTGTATTGATTTCTCTTGCCCAACAAACCACACAAAAAAGCACAAATAGGTGGAAAAAAAAAACATTTTCCCACAAAAAGGTGATGAAGGAGAAGATCCTCAATTGTCTCCCTGCCCATGTGAGAGCTAATGAAGCTATAGCCAAACATCTCGAAGAAGCCACACCAATCAGCTCGAGCATAATCACAACTCCAAAGGATATGAGTAAGGTCTTCAACCGCCTCCTTGGAAAGAATAGAACAATGCAACCCAACCAAAAAGGACCCTCTACCCAAATCTAATCAAAGGTGTTAACTCTTCCGTGCAAAACCTACCATACAAAAAAATTAACTTTGTTTGGAATTTCCACCCTTCATACAGAGGAGACAATAGAATCACTATCTAGGGAGGTATAAATCAAGAAACAGGAGAAAGAGGAGCAGACAATGTCCTTCCAAAGCCAAAAATCTCTCTCTTGGACAAAATCCCCACAGAGATAAAAGAGCCAAGGCATCCTTTGTTTCGTGGTCAACAGATGACATAACCTCAAAGAAGAAGTTGAAGACTTCACCTAAGAAAGGATCAAGGCCACTTAATGATTCCTAGTAGAGGACAACAGGTATAAACGAGAAACAAGGAGCATAGGGATCTATTAACCAACCATTTATCCTCTAAAAAAATAAATCTCTGTCCCATCCCCCACCACATTACGAATAAACAAGAAAAGAAAAGGAAACTTAGCCTAGATAACTTTCCAAGGGTTTTAGGAGGTGCCTTCAACCCCCACAGCGAGACCCAAACTTACTAACATAACCTTGTGTTGAGGTGTCTGGTTGATGACAAAGTCGCCAGGGCCATTTAATCAACAATACCTCAATTCTTTCCCTCACATTACAACCAGCCGATTCGACTTCAGTACCTAATATTAGACCATGTGAATCTCCCAATAACTAAAGGGGCTCAAACAAAGAGCAACTAACCCGCTTAGAATACCACCCCAGGCTCCCAAGGATTCAAAACATACCCACCCCATCTTTCTTTTTCCCTATATACTCTTCATTACTCTCGACAACAACTCCCCTGCTTAGAATCTACCAAAATAATGATACCTTACGAGAGATAACCTCCTTCACCAATCACCTTTTATCCCTACCTGAATCCTCACTTTTGAGTAAACTCACCGGCTCTCATAATTGAGGGAGCATTTTATATTTTTAGCTCATCTCCCTCTATTCCCTCCCCACTTGGTTTACTAGAAGTTTTTGCTTTACAGACGTACTCTAGAAGTCAACTTAAGAAATTCCACACGACTCTCCCCAAGGCCCCCTCAACGAGAGGAGAGACCTCGGCCACCAAGGAATTATCCAAGGGCTTACCTTGGATCGTAGTCGCTTGCGTGCCAACTGGACTAAAAGAGAAAACATGGATGACCAATGGCCTAAACAACCCCCATTAAACAACACGTCAGAAAACCCTAGGGTTAGACATGACAAAAGGGTCTCTCATGCAATGGCCAATGGTTGAACTCCCCCACTAATCCACATTTACTCTCAACACTGAGCCAAGTAGCATGCATCGAACTTTTCTCCCCAAAAAACAAAATCATTGGATGAGGTACAACACCACAAGAAATTGTGAAAGAATTGAGAAATAAACAACAAAACGAGTAAGGCAAACACCTGATCTGACCCACCCCAACGACAAAGAAAAGGGAAAGGCCAAGAACACCAACCCGCCCCCCTCGTTCACTTAAAAATGGAAGCAAATACTTAAAAGAAGCATAGCAAATATGAGTGGTCGGACCTTTAGTGTTGACTTGAGGATCAATTGGAGAGGGATCTCAATGATTGAGGATACCCCATTCCAATCAATGCTTATTCTGTTTGAGCAGACCCTTAGAGGAATTTCCATAACCGTGGCACTTACTACCCAATCACATGGGAATCCTAACTAACGTGGGTTGTTGGTCTAGCTCAAACAAAGAACCAATGATAGAAAGGTCATAATCCCTTCTACATTGGAGAAGATAAAAAAAAAAAAACAATTTGTCCTTTGAATAACTAACTATCAAAGGATCAAAAAAGTAATATTCAGAACAGACCAAACCAACTGGATATCCATTGCCCACATCGTTATCCAGAAAACCATCCAGACCTACCTGCCGATCAACACCCTTGCGAGGCTCGTAATGGGATAGACGGAACCTCCCATCTTCATTTGAACACCCTATACAGTTCACTCTAGGCCCGAAATTAGGAGACCCATCAACTCCCTCAAAACACCCATCAACACACACCCCAGTCATGGGCTTCCCTACACAGAACCCAACGGCTCAAATTGATGGTAGGGGAAGGATTAATTCTCTTGAATGAAGGTAAACTATCAATCAAAAGCGCAACAACATAAGGCCCTCCCATACTCCATTTCGCCTTCAGCTTGCAACTTCTTGGACTACCAAGCTCCCCAACCGCACAATTTTGTTTTGCTTCCCCTTTCTGCCTTTTTTCTTACAATTAAGACATAGGCCCATTTGGGCCATCATCCACCTAAGTCGTTGACCTCATTTATTTAACGAACTCCCACTTGGATCGCAATGCCCCAAAATTGGTCAACGACCCATTTAACTCTCTTTAGGCTTAGCCCACCATTGATTCTAGCCTCCAAATTCCTTGTATGTACACTCCGTCTTCCTACCTTCAACAATCTCTAATGTGCCTTTGATGGCTTTACCCCATAAAATCTGGCCAACCACTCATCTCACCAGAATGGAGACCCAATGATGGACAGAAACTCATTGGAATGAACACATTCTTGTTCTCCTTTGCTCTAAATGCCTCATGATAGAACCAAGAATCTTCTCCAACCAATTCATCTTCCTCAGCAAAACCTCCACGATACCCAGCGAGAGAGGACATAAAACCCTTTGTTCTAAAGACGGAATATCGAGCATTGTTATCCATCTTGTTCTAAAGAAGGAAGGAATATCGAGCATTATTATCCATCTTCCCAAGAATGACTATCTTCTCCCCTCACCAACCAGTTTAAAATCCCACCTATGAATTGAAAAAAAAAAAAAAAAAAATCTCTTACTTGAAACTTCGAGCATTACACGAATGCCTCTACCTCCCTCTTATCCCCACAAATGCCCACTGGTAGATGGTTACAAAAGGGCTTGATGATTCTCCAACAAGTCTTTAAAAGTAAACCAAGCCACCTCCCCACCCAATTTTTCTATAATAATCATTGAATGAACATCAAAGACGAAGTCCAACATGGCTTCAACCTCCGAATCACCCAACCCTTGAAAATTAGACTGCCTATCTACCACCAACGTGTTAAGATTCAAAATCTTTGAACTTTGATTCTCCTATCTCTCTTCGTTGCACACAACGGGGGTTTAGGAAGGCATTCTAACAAGGCCAAAGAAAGACTATGTTAACCCCTTCTTCTGCTTTCATCAAACTAGTCTCAACTCAATTACTTTTTTAGAGATTTCAGTGAGTAGGTACTCAAATAGTTTCGTTAATGAGACACTTTATGGTCTATGTTAACTTTCTTCTTCTGCTTTCATCAAACTAGTCTCAACTCAATTACTTTTTTAGAGATTTCAGTGAGTAGGTACTCAAATATTTCACGAGAGAGGACGTAGAAGAGAGAAGGAGAGAGAGGAATATTATGAGTCACTATGCCCCAACCAAAGTCGCACCTTTTGTATTAAGTTTTAATACATGATACACTTTTTTGAAATATAATAAAAAATTTGTAGCTAAAGAAAAATTAATAGATAAAAGCAAAGTTATATAAGTTATGATGCATTATACACTTTTTTAGAAAGCATAACTTACCACACCCAGGCAATTTGAGGCAAAGGCCTAGGCTCTCCCAAAAATAACAATCTCCAAATTCTACCTATCTCCCATCATTTTCTTTTTCTTCTTTTTTGTTGTTTTGTTTTGTTTTGTTTTTTTTTTTTTTTTTTTTTTTTTTTTTTTTTTTTTTTTTT